TGTTTTATATGTATTTGCTTATGTACATTTATACAGGCCATATACTCATCGTATAGCAGGCAACGATAAAGACAACATCCAGCCGTCAGAGGATATTACCATGCACAGTGCTTACACACATGTAAGGAAAAGTGAATTTTAAAGGAAACTTTTTCTTTCGACCATAACACAACTTCGCAGAATAAATCTTTACAGGAAGGACAAAGCGACTTTCCAGCTTTAATTCTTTCAAATTATACATTCCTTGACAAGAGCTCTTCTACATAAGGGACATAGAATATATTTGTTGCAATAAGGTAATTAGTAATTATGATCTGGTAAGCTGACTATTAAAATAATATTTGTTAGTGGACTTGCATTCTAAGCTAAAAACCTTTAAGAAGCTGAAAAAAGTTACTTGACCTGCAAAAATTAAATATTCTTGTAGTTTTTAAAAAACATTGTCATATCTGTGCGAGTTCTGCAATTTCTTTTAATTTTTTTTTATCAAAAAATGTTTATTTTATAACTAGGCCCACGTCATAGTTTTGATTTGGACCCACTATGCACTGAGAATATGTTGCCACATTATTATCTAGCAGAAGCCGCCCCATAGGCACACGCACAGCTATACACATAAGGGTGACTAGTGGGGGAGTGTTGAAGGCATACAGAAATGGGGCAAGGCTTACACTCGTACATACAACAGGAACAACAAGAGAAGCAGCAGCAGCATTACAAACCATATTCTATATGTGTGTGTGTGTGTGTGTGTGTGTGCGTGTTTATGTGCTTGTAGGCTGTCATGTTAACAAGGCACAAATACCAGGCATTCGAGTGTTCTATATGTGCGTACATAAGTGTGTTTATGTCTGTGTGGGTGTGTTCGTGCTTTATGCGCATGAGTGTGTGTGTATTTTATGTGAAAGCTGCCTAACGAAAATGGCGCGCTCTTCTGCCTTTATGTAAATTGCGTTTATATGCGCGACGCGCAAAAGTATGCTACACTTTTTACAAGCTGTTTTGATTTTTGTACGCTTGTTGGTTTTTTGCATCGAACATTTTATTTGTTATTAATAATGCCATTGCAATTTATTAGCTGCATTGAACGCGAATTCATTTTTTTTGCTTTTATTAAATTATACTTTGTTCGTTCATTATTTATTATTAACCTTTTTGATTATGCGCGCCATAATAGTCATGAAATTTAATTAAATTTAATAGTGTCTGTAGTTTTGTCTGTGTGTGTATTTATTATGACATTCAGACAACAAGAATAATGCACAGGATTGAACAAAAAATAAATAAATTGCCACCCCTTGTGGGCTTTTTTCGCATATTAATTAAATGCATTTGCATAAATACCGGCAACGAAATTGTTTACCATATTTTTATCGCCCTGTTTGCCAAACTGTCGCACTGCAACAACACTTGGCTGGTTTATTATGACTAATTATTGCTTGATTTAAAATGCCATACCATTATTGTTATCATTATTGTTATTATTATTATTAATATTTGCATTGCATTCATTCATTAATGCCAATTGCCAATGTGCCATAAATGTGGGCGACAAAAAAAAAGTCAGTCAATATTGATTGTATTTATATACGAGTTTAAGTTCATTGCGCCCTTTTTCATGGTCTACCACTTGTCATTGTTTAAATAGTTGGCGCATTCCAACTATAAATAGCTGCTGTTGCTATTTATCAAGGGATATAGATATGGACTATCAATGCAATTTCTTATCAACACGGATAATGTTTCCCATTGCATAGGGTAGGTTAGTTTATACAACTTGAAAAATATGCACTGATGCTGAACTAACTGAATAAATTAAATGACGGAAATTAAATGAGTTCATTTCGATGTGGGAAAGGAGTTATTAATAGCATAGGCACTAGAAGTGTGATTTAAGCATGAAATAAAAACTATTTCTGAGCTTAAACAATCTAAATATAATGTAGAGACCTTAAAAAAGTCTTACTTTCGGTTAAAGGTTTATAATATTAAGGAGTTCGAGAATATAATTCATTACCGTTTCGATATTCAGCGCCAGAAGCTTGTACGCAAGCTTCAATATTTTCCTATTAAAAATAATATTTTATTTCATAATCTCTTCTTCATTCATAAAAGACCTCATTTTATAAATATTGCTGTATTAGAAGCCGAATTCAGGTGATCGACCATTAGTCTCTAAACTCGAGTTCTTACAGCTCTCAAAATGTTATTCACAAATACGACTTGTAATAGTTTTTACATGACGTTAATACAACAAAACGAGTTAATTGGTTTGTGAAAGCGAGCGAGAGAGATATATAGAAATAACCTTAAAAAAATAATTAACTTTAACACAATGTCGCAATCTGAAAAAAAGTGCTAGGATTGAAACATAAGCAGGCAGCCGAAGTCCGAAGTCCTGCAACCAAGTAGGACAACCGCAGTCCGAATTTGACACAATTCATTAAGCTTAATGAAGACAGCCCAGCAACAACAATAATGCTCACATAAAAAAGACAACAGGAGCGAACGAGATGAAGAAAGGGAGTCTCTGATAAATAGAGACGACACGACATCATTTGGAGTTAAAGGCAGGCAATGCCTAGCTGTTGCTTTTAATTAAAATTCAAGTGGCATTTTGTATGTCGACGTTGTCGTTGTCGCTTTTGTTGTTGCTGTGGTTGTCTCATCCGGAGGCTCAGGCAAAAACTTGCGCTTAAAGCATATAATCGTGCATAAAACAGGCCATAAAGCGAAGCAGTAAATAGAATTGGCTCGAAGCTAAAGCGAGCACTTAATGAGTGCTACCTATGCTTTACATAGGAATGGCCAAATAAAAGATGCATAGCGGCAGAATGTTTTACGAATCGCGATGATTATAAAGATTACAAACAACAACATTATCAAACATATGCTTTTATTTCCATTGCCTGCAAAATAAATGATATGGTAAGAAACGGGAAAATTTCCTACAACCTGGAAAAAAAAAATAATTTTCGAGCATAGCTAGTGTGTTGAAAGCCAATATATATACAAGTAGTTAGTTGATTTGGTTTACAACAATTGGAGTACTTGTAAGAAATTAAAACAAAGCCATAAATTTGTGAAACAATTATATTTAAAAGTTAAAGACAAATTGTTAATTTTCAGAACCCATGACCTCTAGCAGTATTCTCTAATGAGACAAACAATAATTTTATTTAAATTTGTTACAAAATTTGACTGATTTACTATATGTTTGGAATGTATTTATAAGTATCTGAAACCAAAACGGAAAAGTGTTTGTTGCATTAATATCTTTTTAAATAGCTTTATATCTTTTTAAATAAGTTTTCCCTAAGAACAGATTTTTGTGTTTTTTTTCACAAAATGCAATTAAATTTTTGAGAGCATAAAATATATTTTTTTGCTGGTTCGCATGCAAACATATGATGTTGAAAGCACATGCAGAATTTTGAATGCAAATTTTACAAAATATAAGGCGCTTTACTTTCTGAAAAACAATCTCGAAAACCTTTTTAGGGGAATAATACCCATAACTGTGTATAACCATCGTTCATACGTATATATAGGCAACATATACTCCAATTTAGTTTTTTTTTTCCTACTGCTGACAACTAAAGTCATGCTTAGTGTCGCCTCAAATCATGTCACATATGATATTTGACAAATCAGTAAAATCAATATTTACTCAAGGTATCACAGGCTACCAAACCTACACACGCACACATACACACAGAGACACACAAATACACTCATAGAAACAAACTGAATTCCTTTTGGGCACAGCTGGCTATGGACATTGCACACTAACGACACACTTCAGAAATCAAACCAAGCACACAAAGCAAACATTTCTCTAGGCCCGCCAAATATATCGGCACTAATTCAATAAGAAAATTATGTACATTTCCGACTTTAAATCAATAAGAGGCCAGAGGAGTCAGGCATGCTTGTAGAGAAAACTGCAAGTCATGCCCGCAATTAAAAGCCAAACAGCAGCAGCAGCAGCAGTGGCAGCAGCTGCTGCTCTCCATGGCTGCCGATATTGCCGCTGCTGGCTGCTGTGGCAGTAGCAGCAACGACACTAAATCAAATCAATTGCCAATGCGAGAGCGAGCGATCATTAACCGGGCCCTAGGGCCGGGGACGTACGAGTACGTATGTGGTTGGACAACACGTTTAAATAAATAAACAATAATGGAGCGAGTTTGGAGAGGGACGCAACGATTACTTAATGAGCTTAGGTGCGGGGCGGTAGGCGGTATAAATAGACGTAATAATGAAGTAACCAGATCAGAAATCAACAGCAGCGAAGCAGCAGCAAAGATGAACGAAGCGTGCGAGTAAATTAATTTTTCATATGTTGCTCGGAGTTTGCCAGAGTTCGACTGTTGAAATCGAAGTGTGAAGCGATGATTTCGTATCTTATTTCTTTTTCTTTTCTGTAGAGTCATTGCTGACGAGCACTGCACTGCGGCCCGAATATCGTGTGTTGATCGTGTTAAAGTGATTTTCTTTACAGCAACGCACTGGCCTTTTAATGACTTTGACAATGGGGAGTGCAGAGTCGGGACTTAATGGAGCAATGGGCCGGCTCATTCAATTTTCGCTTAAGCCAGCGAGCAACTGCAGTAAGCACATCGGCCACAGCTCGTCTGTGTCCGTCACTGGACTGCTTCTGTGCTCTGTCTGTGCTGTACGAGTATAGTAAATCATATCAATAATCACTTGAGTCATGATCATTAGCGAGTCGCATTCGCTGCGCTTTGTTAACGGTATCGATGGCATCGTTGACAGGAAGTCGTTGCGCTCGAATGCTCGAATGCGAGCGCGCTCGCAATGGCTGAGGTGTGTCCATGCATTTCATTGATTTCATTCCATTGACAATCCATCGGAACGCCCCAAACAATTGTAACCAAATTACTCGTACGCGTAGCCACTGTTGGGCCACTGAATCGATCAATGATTGTCGGCACTCATTTGCAAATTAGTGGGCATATTCATAAGTATGTACTTACTGGTATTTGACAGACGTTCCCGCCACGCTATGGGATTGGCAACAAGGCCCTGCAAACCGGGCCAATACAGATGCGTACGATCGACAATGTGGCCAGCGTGGGTTTTCAGCGGCGCTCCTTGACTTTGTGACAAATACTGGGCCATGCCGGCAGCTGCGGCGGCAATGGAGAAGCGTGGTATTCCAGCTGTGAATAAAATATAAAGAGAAAAGAATTAAAAAAGTGCCGATAACTGACTTTATTTTATTTTCGTATAATTGCTCATAAGTTAGAATTAGGGTTAGAATTTTAATAAAAACAATCTTCTTACATTCGCTTTGTAGATTAAAAGTAAAGTGGAATAGGATTTTCCTGTTCTGATTGCGCTCTTTAGGAGAATAATATTTTATTTTATTGTTTAACATTATAGACGAATTCACAAATCAGTTCAATCGGATGTTTTAGTTGAATATACTTTTTGAGCTCATATAAAAACTTGCAGACATAAAAATTACTTTATCTGAAGAACATTCGTTAATTTAAGGAAATTTTAGACACCTGATATGTATTTTGCACTAAAACTTCTTAGACTTTAATCATTGCATGAACGCTAATAGCGTGAGGAAGAACCCAATACAAGTTTTTCAGTCAATATGCTTTTGTTTGCCAAAGCTAAAAAAGTCTGATCTTACATTTTCTCCTTAGAGTACAGAAATTGACAATTTTGGGAGTGATACTTTTAAACCTAAAATGTTTATCATATGTATGATTATCAAGCAAGTTTTTATCATTATATGTCTATCACTATCTTAAGTCTTAAATTTGACTTTGGTATGCCAAAAAGAGTCCGGAATATTTAGGAAACATTTTATAGAAAATGTAATTATTATAAACTCTTTTATGAGTCGCTCTAAAATTGTAAGGGAATTTTTTTACAATACAGATTGCTAATCTTGTGCTCCCATTTATCTATTTTTTTAACATAATAAATAAATCAAATCGTGATTCGGAACCCAGGGGTGGTATTTTTATGCATTCATTTAGGAGAAAAGCTAATCATACATCTGAATAAACGCTCATACACTCATTTGCTAACATTCTCTCATTCATTACAGTATTCATTAAATATGATTTGTTTCTAGGACTGTGACTAGAATATAATTTGTGGGTACCAGAGAAAGTGGAATTTCTAAAGTACTTAATAGTTTGAAAAGAAAGAGCGGCACCTTTGAAACTTGAAAATGCGAATCGAGCAGTTGCTTTATCGATCACTTTATATATATACTTGTATATTTTTTTCTTTATTTAATATAAGCATGGAATCCGTGCATACAGGTTAAGCACCTTAACAATATATTTTAACAAATGAAATTCAAATGTTTATCCTTGCGGCATCGATACAAAAATCAGGCGATTGCTTTAAATTTTCTGAACCCTTTACCTTTAGCCCTCAAATATTTGCTGAATTTATTTATGAATTCTCATCCGTCGCCAGCTAATTTATTGTAACACAAATGAGCCGCTTTGGTAACTCTTGCAAATTATTTCATTTTGGCTTGTCATAAAACTGAAAAAAATACTTAAAATTCCTTTCCCAACTACGAGTATAATCGTACACCTACAAGTGCTTCTTGCCCACTCATTGCCCATTTTTGATTTCTGTCATTGTGGCCCTATTAATTAAAAGCCATTAAGTAATTTGTCATATGAAGAATAAAAACATGTTGTTAAAAGCCGTTTACGAAATCAGCCTCCGAATCGGACTCCAGCTCCAAATCAAATCACATAAACGCCCTCGTTAAATATAATTAAAAATTGTTATAGCAAATTGTCAACGCTCTGTCAGAGTAGCCGCCAATTTTGACCCACTCTGACGGTCTGTTCGGCTGCCATTGTCATGTCGCACAATTGGGCTACACTTGGCTGTCGAAAAACTGAAACGACAAACCAACAATCATATCTGTGAAATGACAACGTCACATGTCGAGTGCCCCTGCCCCACCTCCTCAATATCGCCCCATATCCCAGCACTTTTTCATGTGTCATTTTGATTTAATTACAAACAATTTGACAACTAATTGCTCGGCGCTTTTAAGTGCGCGCGTATCTCATTACGCTTTGCGGCATTTTGCAATTGGTTATAATATTATTATTATTATATTTGTGGAAATTGTGCCCAATAAAATGCTGGATAGGTGGGGTAATTGTGTGCCTTTAAAAAGACATTTAATTGCTACGTTAAGCAGTCGAGGGTAATAGTGGCGGAGCGGGCTCCATTGTTATCTCCATTTTATTTAAAAGCGGAATCATGGAATCATGTCAAACCGGATTTCAAAATATACAACACATTTCTGTGCGCTCGAACACACACTAAGTTTTAAATGTGTTTGTGTGTTTTGGGTTTTTACGAACCAGTTTTGTTTGTGGAAGTATTTGAATTATTTTGGGGGCATGCATAATGTCTTTTCAATATTGACATTGCATAATTATACCTAAACATATAAAAATAGACGTCGGAAATGAGATTTTGAAATGGGCATTGAAAGAGAATATGAGAATAGTTTTATATAGCTTATTAGAAGTTCTTCTAAAATCTAATAGAAATACTAAAAACAAGAAATACACTTGAAAGATAAGAATAAGTTGAAATAATTTTTAACATTACAAATAAGTACCACATTTGATCGCAATATATATTTTGCTCTGTTATTAAATTAAAATAAAATGAATGCCTTTGAAAAACATTTTCCTAAGAAAATACCTCAACATAAATGATGAAAAAATAGTCTTGAAATCAAATAATATTCATTATTTAAGGAAGATTGTATTCTAGTATAAATTTTCGAATCCAAAAAAATTAGTTTTAAGGACTTTTTTATTCAGATTCCCATTTAACGTTAAGCTCTCTGTTTCTTATTATAAACATCAATCAAAAATGTTTAATTTAAAGTGATTGTAATTTTATGTTTTCAGCGAATATACCAAATGTTTGAATGATCGGCCAATTAAAAAAGCTGCAAATTTATGAAGTTATGCTATGGGTGAGTGTTGAGCTTAAATTTTTATATTTTGAATCCAAGCAAAAATTTAACTTCATAACGGAAGAAATCTGCCATAAATTTCTCTAATAAGAAGAAATATATATAGAAATATATATTGTAAATTCTTCTCAAAACCAAACTCTAAATAGTATTGTATTGTATTATTGTTTCTGGTTTCACTCTGATTAAATAATCAGGAGACGTACTAATTGATATTTTATGAGTATATATTGCCGTCGGGAAATTGCAATAGCTGAGTTATTTCGCAGAAACAAACGTAGCTTGTGATTAGGCCGAGAAAGTGTAGGAATAGAAGGGTCTAAGTACCTGTCATTGCTCTTTTAATTACATAATAATATCCGAAGACCCATTTGTGGAGTATTAACAAGCTATCTCAACGTTAAGATACCCCATTTAATTGCCAATTTTTGTAGAGTCGCACAACATTATTGAATTTAAGAATCCTATCCTATCCCTTATCGAATTAAAAGTGACAAATATCAGCTATTAGTTGATGCATGTGTCCAAGAAAGAGATCAGATCGGTTTATATGATCCACTCACCTCCGGTTAAAGCACTTAAACCCGCCGATGTGACTGGCGGTGGTTTCGACAATATCGTATCGATGCCATGCGGATTTGCCGCGCCCTGCGTATTTGTCGGTGTGGTTGTGGAATTCGCTCCCGACACACGCTCACTGATCAAATGCGCATTGGGACTGTGGCCGTAGGCGCCAGCCATGCCATTGCCAGAACCGGCACCACCACTGCCGCCACCACCACCTCCCTGTGCAGTCTTCATTTCCGTGGTCATCGAGTGGAGAGCGGCCAGTGGTGGCCCCAAAAAACTCAATGGTAACTTGTGATCGAGCATGCCAGCACCAGGGTTGCCACCCATCAACACATTGTTGTTGTTGTTGTTACTGCTATTATTATTGTTGTTGTGGTTGTGCAGACCCAACGGATTGCCACTGCTAGGTGGCAGTCCGGTCTGATATTTGCGACTAGTTAGATTTTCGGGACTATAATCGGGCGGTGGTGGACTTGACTCACTATTGTTGCAGGGCTCTTCGCCACTACTGCGCTGACTGACGGCATAGGATTTGGAGCTGTCGACGCCGGGACTGGAATTCTGTTCGTAGCGCGTGCGTCCATGTAGAGAGCCGTGGCAATTGTCCGGAGACTCTGAGTGCAGTCTGGAGGAGGCAGCCGATTGCTCACTGCGTTCCGCATGTGAGAGTAGCATGGGTGGTGGAGTCGATGAGTCCTCCGTGGAGCCACCACGCCCCAATTTAGCCTCCAATTTCGGCGCACTGGCCTTGAGCAGCATGAGCGGACTGCTCAAGCTGTTATTATTGTTGGCCGCATAGGCCGCCGCTGCGGCGGCACTGTGATAGTCCAACAGTTGTTCCCGCGCCGCCAGCTGTTGCTGATAGTCGACGGCAGCAAGGGATGCGGCGGCCGCTGCATGAGCATGTGCATCGGCGAAGCCATTGCTGAGGCCAGCGGCGGCGGCCAAATGATGGTGTGCATGGAGCGTGGGACTGCGATTGGCCGATGTAGGCGGACTGTTTTGGGCCGCGGCGGCAAAACTGTGATGCCGCATATAAGGATTAATCAGATCCATGTCGTGGTGGTGCTCCTGGTGCAGCGTAGCGTGGCTAGCGTGTGGGCCTGGAGTTGGCGAGGCCGAGGCTGAGGCTGAAGCGTGACCGTGAGCGTAATCGACGCCGGCGCCACCGTCGACGGTATCCGCGGGCAGGCGATAGAAGTTCGTGGGCGGCACACGCAACGCGAGATTGAAGGCGGAATTAGCCGACAATTGAAACGTCTGGGCAAGCTGTTTGGCGGCGGCAACGTTGTGTGGCGTATTACTGCCCGTAGGCGTTGTGTTTACAAATGGGCTACCCAGTTTGCTTGCTTCGGAACAGGCACGCACGCACGGACACTCACAAACAACCACAAAATGGCAATCTTTTCTTTTTCAAATTTCTATTCTGTTTAAAGGCAACAACACTGTCACAAATTTCGTTCATTCATTCGTTCAACAATTTCTTGTTTGGTCAACAGCAAATTATTTTTATTTGAGACGGCGCGCGCGCGTCCGTTTGTTTAGGCCTAAGACTACCGAATGATTTCGAAATTGACTTCAGGCAGCCGCCAACTGATGATTTTGACTTGATGCAAGCGAGCAGCACACGCACACACTCACAAATACACTCACATATACGAGCACACAATCTCAGCGGCACCCTCAGTCGCTGCAGGCGTTGCTCTCTTTTCACTCAGTTCCTGCAGCATCCCAACTGCATGGGTGCGTTCGTGCGGAACACCTAGATGGTGCCTTCTCAGTCGCACACTCACATCCAGTTAGTAAATCAGTGAGCCCGAAAATCAGTGTTCCACAATCACTGTAAACAATGCTGGAACACTTTGGCATTGGCACAAAACGAATGGCAATTTTATTATGTACATCATTAAAATACACTATTTCGGATTGGATTGGAGCTGGTCCGGGGGCTGGAGTTGGAGCAGGTCGTCCATCTGTGTGCGTGTGTGTGTGTTGGTCGGGTTCGGTTCGCTGCGTTTCACTTCTCTCTTTACGCGAGTGTGCGTGTTGGTGTATCGGTGTGCGTTTCTGAGTGCATTTTCATGCAGGCTTGATGGCTGTGTGAGGATGGCATTCACAAGGCGCGGCTTGACTGTGAATGCTGTTTATTTGTTTAAAAAGCTATAAATATTGAGCATGGCATGCGTCTGCGATGGCAACTGTTTCTCTTTTATTCCTCCTTTTTTGAGCCATTAATTTAAATAATTAAAAATTGGTTGAGGTTTTTGTAGAGTTTATGAAAGATTGTACTCTGAAGTAAATATGTAAGTACAGGTTCGTACAAGGCATAACACATTTAAAATATGTAGTTAAGAATGTTTAAAATGAAATTGACAAATTAATAAACTACTTATAATCAGGCAATTCGATTATTATCTTTGCTGGTTTATTGCAGACAATGTATAACAGCATTTTTTTTCTTAGTTCATTTAATAGATTCAGCTCTTTCGATATTTTACTTATTGTATTATTTGAGTTTTCTTTCCAGGACCTTATTTTATTGAAACTGACACTTGACAAAAATTCTAGAGAAAAATTCTAGATAAAAACATGTTATACTGCATTTGTTTCTCTTAATCTTTAATATTATTTACGTTTAGAAAGGGCTCGATTTTTGTAAGAATAATGTATCTCGGTTTTAAAATATTTAATTATTATTTACACCACACTCCCATTTTATAGATATCTCAATATTAATATAAATTTGTGTACCCATTTATTAATTTTCTAAAACCTGCAGAAAAAAATGTTAGTATAGAATTCTTATCAGTCATCATTGTGGAAATAATGAAAAATTTGTAGAATTCGAAAAATTGGCGAGCAAATTATGTGAAGCCCCTAATTAAGATAAAAAGTGAATTCTATTTATTAATGAAATTGTTTTACTTTTTTGCTTAATTTTTTAATTCAATTTCGACATCATTATTTACAAGACATAATTCTGATTTAAATACTTGCGTATAGTATACATAAATCCAGAGAAAAACTTAATCATTGCGATTATTAACATTTCGGTATCATTATGTGCTGTCGCGCAGGCAGCTCAGAATGTCAGCAATTTATACTTATACGTATTTGTCTATATAAATATACATATGTATATGGACTTACATGCACATACACATGTAAATACAAGTACATATTATATGGAAACCTGCTGCTGCAAATACACAAATGCTGATATAAATATACATACATACGTACAAACACACAAATACAAAAATGCGCTTCATTTAATAATAAACTACACAATTTTAATTTACTTGAAAAAGGCTTGTAGAGACGGTGGCGGCGGCGATAGTAACAACAAAAGTCCAACGCGTCGTGGAACGTTGTGGAAATGAAACAGCAATGGCCACTCCTACCAAGCGAGCATTTAAAAGTGCGCCCTCCCTTTCTCGCATATTCAGGCAGACGCCATTGTTTGCTGACTCTGTGTGAGTGCGTGGTTGCGCGCTTGCATGAGTGTGTTTGTGTGTGTGAGAGCGTGAGAGAGCAAAACTCGTATTGTGCTCAATGCTCCACTCAACTGCTGAGTGTTTTTAACTGAGTTTACACCACAGTGGTTCATTTTAAACGTGCTGGTTGTTTAAACAACTTTTTCACATCGATCGGTAATTTGTGCAATTTTTTCTATTGACCATAAAAAAGCTGTATCAGCTGTTGGTTAATAATTTAAAAAAGTTGTTTTTAAAATTTGTCATCAAATTATTTCTTTAAAATATTTTCTTTGAAATTTAAAACATATTGCTTTTTTTCTGACCAACTTTTTTATATAAGGGCATCATTTTTCTTCATCACAGTATTATTGCATTATCTAGGATTTTCGAAAAAAAAAAACTGAATGTTTTGCTTAAGTTACACATATTGAATTTTTTAATTTAATATTCGATACCTAAGTCGAAAAACGATGGTACATATAAAGAAAGGAAGATATCTAAATCAGCTTTTTACTGTTTTTAGTGTTAAATGACTTCAATTACCACAAATATGGTACAATGGCTTGATTTATTTTACATTTTCTAGTTTCGGGCTTTTATTAATTTTTAAGGTAAATCAAAATGTAGAACCAAAAAGTATGCTGTGATTAATTTAAATTCTTTTATTTAAAAATAATAATAATATATCATTTGATGGTATTCCATATATTATTATATTTCGGCAAGTCTGATGACAAAGTATACTCTTTGTAGTTTAATAGGCAGTTTATTAAAAGTTATAATTAAGCTATAACGATAGAAAAAATAAAAATTTTGTATAAAAAGTTTGATCGTTTATGATGAATTTTGCCATTATATGAAGTTTTCTTTTCAGCAGTTGTAAATATTTGAGTTACTCTTTTCATATTGTCCTTATACGGCCAACATATTTATGGTAGGCCTCGTAAACTACTAAACACCCACCTCCAGCACACAACGCCCCTCTTTTGTTTTAAACCAATACACCCCACCATGGCAGCATCGAAATCTTTTGCTTTGATCAATAGAAATTTATGCATAGTAAAAACTACAAAACATGTGACAGCATTTTATCGCACTTAACAGATCTCAGACAAGTAGAGAAAAAGAAGGAAACATGAAATTGTTTCAAATGTGGTCATATAAATTCCAACTACCACCACTGAAGCATAAAAGATGCCTACAAAACTAACAAGCTACTAAAAACTACAAGGCGGAGATAACAACAAAGGGGGCATGTTTTAAAAAACCAAACGTGATTGATTTATTGTTTTATTGCGCCAAAAAAAAAAAAAAAACGGCACGAAATGACAAAAGCGATAACCAACGAATATGGTAGAGAAGCTAATAGATCCAAGAGAGCGGCAACCCAGCATGAAAATATGGCCGACCCATTGCCATCATTTGAAGTTGGCCCCATTGCTGGGCCTCAGAGTCAAAGCGGGTAATTAATAAATAATTTGTGAGGTACAGATGTTGTTGCTGCTGCCTCAGTCTTATTCACATGCTGGAAAAATAGCTGAAAAAGTAAATAGCCATGGCCAATGTAAAAGTCGACTGGGATTATGAGTCAGTTCATTAAACTGTAAACCGGCACTGGGAAGAGAAAAACGATTCCATAAATATTGTGCAGTATGTGCGATTGTGTGTCTGTATGGTTAGGCATTTACGGTCGGTCTATTTGTGAACAGTGATGGTTAATTACCAGTTTTTTAAGCAGCTTCAGGTAGCAAATGTACATTTTTGGAAGCCTACAATAGACAGTGGATGTCTTTTGTTTGCAATTCTAATTAAATTGAAGGTGTGCAATAAAATATTCGAAAGGAAATGTCAGTTAGATGTTAATGTCTGGATTTACGATAGAAATAGAGTTTTTAAAGTATAATAAATATTGAATAATAAATAGTATTGAATAGTAAATATATATAATGCATGGTATATATAATTACCAATTTTTTTTTTACTAATATGGTAGAGTCTCTACGATAAATCTAAATATTAGACATGCCTTTGCCGTTGTTTTAAATATCTAACATAAAATCTTTCACTTAATTTTCTAGTTTGCGTCTGCTTTTGAATATGATTTGAATTATATTGTATATTGAAAAACGTCTATTGCAACATTAAGTTCATACTTGTATCAAGAGATACTTTAGTTGTGCCTGAGAGAACTGGTTGCAATCTTTGTCTAATCTTCCTATCACCTCAACCAATATTTCAAAATCTGGTTATGTGGAAAAGTTGTGAAAAGTTCTTCTGACTTTCGAATAATTTCTTATACATTTTTCGATAAGCAAAAGAAAGAAATACATTATTTATTAATAAATGGAACGATGTTAGCCTTTCCTTACAATTTTTAAACTTTTGGCAAAAAAAATAAACAAAAAAAACTATCAATAAGGTTTCTTTATACAACCCTTGATGCATATATCCAGATGCTTAGCCAATAATCCAAGACAGAATTTAAATTTCCTGCAGTCGGGAATCGCCAAAAGCAGCTGCGGCCACACCACGCAAACCAAAATATACACAAACACACACACGCTCAGATACTAGTAT